CGGGTGTCTATACTTAGAGCAGGTTAGCTACGCGGAACTCGCTCCTTCCGAGACCTAGAGGTCCCCTCTAGACTTTCCTCTTCCTCCGGCCCGAGACTTCGAGAGCCGACCCAGAGGGGCGGACTCGATTTTTCTCGCCCAGAGGAAGAGGAATCCCTCGGCGGGCGCCGAGAGGTTAGGAATTTAAGGACGGAGACCGCTTCGCGGAAACCTAACCTAACCTCCGCGAGGCTCCAGGCCCGAAATAACCTCTCTTGGACGCCTACGCGTCTCTCGGCTGAATTCCCCGCCGCGTACCGATCTATTGTCTCCTTCCCTCTTTTTCTCCCTCTCTCGGCCAACGTCTTTCGGATTCTCGCGAAGTCTGCGCCACTGCGGACTTCTCGAAACTTCCGTCCGTAAAGTCCCGCCTTAGGGACGCCTGATCTACGCTTCCCAGAAAGGGAGGCGCGGTGCTCGGCTCCATATTCGTAAGACGGAGAGATTTAAGGAGCCCTTAAACTTGGACCGACCTTAATAAAACTTATTAGGTTAGCCGGGAGGTACGCTAACCTAACCTCGCTTAAGAGGTTATGAAAGGCGCTAAGGAACTTAATCGACGTCGATAAAGTAAAATTCATCGTTACTCTTTTTGGTAGTAATGCCGTTTTGAATAAATTATTAGGTTAGCCGAGAGGTACGCTAACCTAATTGCCTAACCTAAACCTTGCTTAAGAGGTTATGAAAGGCGCTAAAGAATTTAATTGACGTGGATAAAGTAAAATTCATCCATACTTCTTTTTGTGGTAATGCCGTTTTGAATAAATTATTAAGTTAGCTGGAGGTACGCTAACCTAACCTTGATTAAGAGGACATGAAAGGCGCTAAGGAACTTAATCGACGTCGATAAAGTAAAATTCATCTATACTCTTTTTTGGTGGTAATGCCGTATTGAATTATTTATTAGGTTAGCGGGGAGGTACTGACTCTGTAATATTCCATTACAATTAACGTAGTACAGATTATCTCTTGATATAAATGCATAAGGGAGGAATCAATATCGAATTAAATTGGATACATACCATTTTTTTACGTTTTCGTTACTATACAATCAAGAAACTCGTAGCATCGATTAATGTTATACATCTCGTCTGTGGATTTAAATGAAAAAGGGAGGAATAATTAACGAATTAAATTTGATATATACCATTTTTTTACGTTTTTGTTACTTAACAATCAAGAAACTCGGTAGAGTTTCGAGCCAAATACATTTCAGTAAGAAGCTCGTAGTGTCGATTAAAGTTATACATCTCGTCTCTGGATTTAAATGAAAAAGGGAGGAATAAGTTGGAAATTAAATTGGATGCATACCATTTTTATACGTTTTCGTCACTTTACAATCAAGAAACTCGGTAAAGTTTCGAGCCAAATACATTTGAGCGAGAAGCTCGTAGTGTGGATTAATGTTATACATCTCGTCCCGTGATATAAATGAAAAAGAGAGGAATAAATATCAAATTAAATTGGATACATACCATTTTTGTTATGTTTTTGTTACTTAACAATCAAGAAACTCGGTAGAATTTCGCGCCAAATACATTTGAGCGAGAAGCTCGTAGTGTCGATTAATGTTATACATCTCGTCTCTGGATTTAAATAAAATAGAGAGGAATAAATATCAAATTAAATTGAATACATACCATTTTTTTACGTTTTCGTTACTATACAATCAAGAAACTCGGTAGAGTTTCGAGCCAAATACATTTGAGCGAGACTCTCGAAGTGTCGATTAAAGTTATACATCTCGTCTCTGCATTTAAATGAAAAAGAGAGGAATAAATATCAAATTAAATTGGATACATACCATTTTTTTTACGTTTTTGTTACTTCACAATCAAGAAACTCGGTAGAGTTTCGAGCCAAATACATTTCAGTAAGAAGCTCGTAGTGTCGATTAAAGTTATACATCTCGTCTCTGGATTTAAATGAAAAAGGGAGGAATAAGTTGGAAATTAAATTGGATGCATACCATTTTTATACGATTTCGTTACTATACAATCAAGAAACTCGGTAGAGTGTCGAGCCAAATACATTTCAGTAAGAACCTCGTAGCGTCGATTAACGTTATACATCTCGTCTCTGGATGTAAATTAAAAAAGTTATGAAAAAGGGAGGAAATGAGGGAAAAGAAGCGCAAAAAAGGGCAATCGGGGCTCGAACGTCTTAATAATGCCGGAGGGCTTCGAGTTCCGAAAACTCGGCCGTAAAGTCCCGCCTTAGGGACGTATGATCTACCGTTCCGAGAAAAGATCCGGGGGCTTCGGGTCCATATTCATGGCCCCCCTTCGGATTTAAGGAACCCTTATCTCGGGGGACTCATCTCGGGCCCGGCAATATGGCCGCTTCCTGGATCCCGATCCTCGCTCGTTCTCACAAATCCGGGGACTATGAATATGGACCTCGGGAATTAAGGTGAAGCCCCCCTCGAATCGGTCGATTCGAATGCAATACTTTTTTTTAAGGGTATGGGACCAAACTGTCCGAAACTTTGACACATCACTGCTGATCGTCTAAGAGTTGTCCTGACACATTCAAAATTTGGATTTAAAAAAAAAATTGTTTAACTCAGCCCAGACCAGAACCAAAATGGCGTCGAGCTCTCACATTTCGATCGATATACAATTATCCAAGGCTCTGATATGAGAAACGAAAGGGTCAGGACAATTTTACGACAATTTAGAACAGTCTGGTAATCGATAAACTCGCATTTGAACGGGATAAAGGCAAAAAAAGTGTTGTATGCGCTTCTATGCCAAAACGATGGGAATACGAGGTCTCGGAGTGAAAATTTAATTGACCTGGAAATCACAGATGGCGCAGAGGGTCCCTCTGCAGTCAATTAGGGCCCCGGAAAGCATGAATCCAGAGGATTTCTGGAGTTTTACTTGGATTTCTTGATATTTATTGTACGAAAACTACAGGTGGAGTATGCCATTTGGTGCAATACCCAATATAATTCGACCCAGCTGTCAATATAAAAACCAACGTCGGCAACGTAGACATTTAGAAAAATCTTTATCGGCGTCGATCAAGTTCCTCGACGTGTTTCACTTCACCTTAAACAAGGTTAGGTTAACACACCTCCCCGCTAACTTAATAATTTATTCAAAACAACATTGCCACCAAAAACGGTATAGATGAATTTCACTTTATCGACGTCAATTGAATTTCTTACCGCCTTTCATACCACCTTAAGCCGGCTTTCCGAATCCGGGGTTAGGGTGAGCGATCATCGGTTAATTTTCTAACGAGCTATATGTTGTTATATCGTTATTTTAATTCTCTCCTGATGAAATTATACTATTCATAACGTATTATAAATTTATTTTGAGATAGAGATCTCTCGCAAAGCGAATAGTAAAGCGCTACAAGGTGCGGGCCGATATATCGGCTCCGGCACTAAAAGGGTTAAGTAAGGTTAGGTTCGCACAACTCCCCGCTAACTTAATAATTTATTGAAAACGGCATTACTACCAAAAGCGGTATAGATGAATTTCACTTTATCGACGTCAATTGAATTTCTTACCGCCTTTCATACCACCTTAAGCCGGCTTTCCGAATCCGGGGTTAGGGTGAGCGATCATCGGTTAACTTTCTAACGAGCGAAACGACGACGTGCCGCGAAACGGCCGGTTACGTCGAATCGACTTTTCCACGAGGCACGCACGAACATTTTCGCCTAAATATACGACTTAATAACCCCTCCGTCCGCTCCCCTGCAGTCCCGCCGCCCGTCTGGCCGTTTCCACGATCTGCCCCTCCCTTAACCCCCCGACTTCCCCCACTCCCCCCACTGCTCTTCCCTTCGAGCAAGTAGCGATGGAGTCGAGCCGCTCTCGACTAATTTCTTACATGAACAAACTGGAGTGAAAAAACATTTCTTTAAAATATCCAAATTTTACAAATGTCAAGAGAATTCTTAAGTAAGTACGAGTCAAGTGGATTTTTTACTTGGCTTGTGAAATATTGTAAACGAGTGTTGTTCGTAAATATATTCGGTACTAAACTAAGGGAAAGAATTTGTTTGAAAAATTAATTTTTTTTAAATGTCAGGACAATTCCTGGGTATTTACGAGTCATGTGTAGAAATGTTCTATCTCCACTTGACTTGTGAAATATTATATCCGTTCGCAATATTGATATTTAAATGAATTTTTATCGACGTCACCACCTTGAGGTGATATGAAAGTGTATACAAATTTTATGCAAATTGGGTGCGCCGAATTATTTTCAATGTTAACACGAGGTTATGGAGGCCGTAAGGAAGAACGCAATGAAATTTCATTTTTCGAGAGAAAATTTATATCAATAATGAAATTTCACAGACATCGCGTTCTTCCTTATAGCCTCTAAAATCACATGTTAAACATTAAAATAATTCGGTATATCCAGTTTGGAGAAAAATGTTATAAATATTTTCACGTTTTATATATATAGAATGACTCTTTCATTTTTACGCGTTTCTTTTTAAACTGCATTTTAAAAATCGGTGGGCATTCTAGCTCCGCCAATTTTCTATCAATTGTCTTGATTCATTTTTTATTTTATTCGTGGTATGTTTATCTAGCGAAATACGTATGGTTTTTGCAATGTATTGATATCCGCGTTTTTTATGTAACCCAATATAATTCGACCCAGCTGTCGATATAAAAACCAACGTCGGCAAGGTAGGCATTTAGAAAAATCTTGTTTATCGACGTCGATCAAGTTCCTCGACGTGTTTCACTTCACCTTAAAATCCAGTAAAATGGTGACAGTGTCTTGAGTTTCATTTCGTCCCAAGTTCGGACTCTTTGCCGGCTCGCAGCCGTCGCTAGAGAGTCGCAGTTCCGCCACCCGCCGCGGGCGGCGCCACCGTCGGTCGGTCGGCACTTCCCCCTCTCCTCGCACTTCCACCGCCGCCAGGGCGTAATTATAGATTCATTCAGTTCCCGGCAAGCCGTCAGTTACTCGGGGGCCGTCACTCGTGGACGGACGTCCATGTTCTTCCACCCCGAATTTGCGAAGTGGGAGCGCGCGCCTCCTGGGCCTCGACGAAAGTGCCTCTTCCGTCCGCGTGAGTTCGCGTCCCTCGGCGGCCCCGAGTCCCCGTCAGTCGCTCCGCTCCCTCCGTGCCGGACGGTCCTCGCCGGAGTCTCTCCGCGTGCCTTGTGCCACTCTGGGATTACTCGCCGGACCTAACCTCGACCCGGAGGAGAACGCTCAGGTAAGACGGCGCCTGGTGGCCGCTCACGTGCCTACGTGGAGAATCCGTATACCGTCGCGGCAACCCAAGGCTCTTTCCCCTGGACCGGCCAATCGGAACGCCCGGTACAGGGGAAGCGGCCTATCGCGCGCTAAGGTGGCGCTTAGGGCCGATTTACATATGTCCAGGGTTGGGTAGGTTTATTCAGGGTTGGGTAACTTCGCGGTTTAGTGGTTTTTCAGGGATATTACGTAAACCGCGTAGTTTGCCGTACGAGGTCGTAGGAAATTATAAAATAGCGTAGAAGATTATAAAATATCATAGAAGATTATAAAATATCGTAGAAGATTCTAAAATATCGTAGAAAATCGTCAAATATCGTCAAATATCGTAAAAAATCGTCAAAAATTATAGGAAATCGTAGAAAATGTTCGAAATCGTCAAAAATTCTCCAATATCGTCAAAAGTCGTCATTAATCATCCAAAATCGTCAAAAGTCGTCAATAATCATCCAAAATCGTAAAAAATTGTCAGACATCGATAGAAATCGTCAAAAATTCTCCAATATCATCAAAAGTCGTCAATAATCATCGAAAATCGTCAGAATTTGCGAGAAATCGATAGTAATCGTGAAAAATTCGTAAAATTCGCCGTGAAAATTTAAAATGCAAATCATTTCCGCTGTTATCAATTAAGTCGTTAATAAATCGAGAATTCATAAAAAATTCGCTGCCAAGAATTTATAATACATATACTTCCAGCGTGAATTAATTATTTCTGACGATCTTTCGTTAATCAGAAATTCGCTGCTCCAAATTTCCAAATATTTTTTTATCGTACATATTCCCCACCTTTAAGAACTAACTATTTTTGATAATTCTATTCACGAATACCTAATATTGCCTACTGCACATATACACACACAACTACAGGTGGAGTATGCCATTTGGTGCAATACCCAATATAATTCGACCCAGCTGTCAATATAAAAACCAACGTCGGCAACGTAGGCATTTAGAAAAATCTTTATCGACGTCGATCAAGTTCCTCGACGTGTTTCACTTCACCTTAAGTCCACAAAAGTCCGCGGAAGGGGTGGTCCTCGATGATGGACTGGATGGTGGTTNATATTCATTATATATATAATATGTATATAAATATATTTTTTTTTTGTATGGTTCCTTCAACACATTTTTCCATTCTCGGTCCCAGCTTTCTTATCATTCCTTATCGCGATTCGAACTCTAGATGATGCTCTAGTTCCCCGCATGCCGATGATATCGATCATATCGATCGGTATAGTAATAATATCGAGTACTCAGATGCACCGAAATTAGGCAGAAGCGGATGATTAATAAATTCCATTACGATAACGAATTCCACTCAACTTCTATTGAACATAAATACCAAAACAACGATGTACCGAGATAACGAATTCCATTCCACTTCTATTGAACGTAAATACCATTTTCTTTACGTAATAGACCCCCTTAAGGTGATCTGGGTCTTTATTACGTATTTTTGACGAGAGCGCTCACTTCTCGCACTTTCATCTCACGTGGGTTTATTCACCGAATTACTTATTCGCTATATAAATGGTCTCGCATTTTCACCACCGAAAATGTTCCTTTTTCACATTTTCGCTCAATTTACGTAATAGACCCCCTAGGTCTTTATAACGTGTTTTTTACGATAGCGCTCACTTCTCGCTCTTTCATCTCTCGTGGGTTTATTCACCGAATTACTTATTCGCTATATGAATGGTCTCGCATTTTCACCACCAAAACGTTCCGTAATACCGTGAGCTATTCATCTTTCACATTTTCGCTCAATTTGTTTTACGTAATAGACCCCCTTAAGGTGATCTGGGTCTTTATTACGTATTTTTGACGAGAGCGCTCACTTCTCGCTCTTATATCTCACGTGGGTTTATTCGCCGAATTACGTATTCGCTATACGAAAGAACGAGATCACTAGCACTTCCGGTCTAGTAATATTGCCAAGTAAATATCTTTTCTTGTATGCTTCACCATTTCGCATAAAAATTTGTGCCGAACCAGTTCATATGAATGGTCTCGCATTTTCACCACCAAAAACGTTCCTTTTTCACATTTTCACATTTCATTCTTTCACATTTTCGCTCAATTTACGTAATAGACTATAAAAGTGTACACCAGGACGTTTATTACGTATTTTTGACGAGAGCACTCACTTCTCGCACTTTCATCTCACGTGGGTTTATTCGCCGGATTACTTATTCGCTATATGAATGGTCTCGCATTTTCACCACCATAAACGTTCCTTTTTCACATTTTCGCTCAATTTACGTAATAGACCCCCTGGTCGCTAGGTCTTTATTACGTGTTTTTGACAAGAGTGCTCACTTCTCACACTTTCATCACGTGGGTTTATTCGCCGAATTACTTATTCGCTACATGAATGGTCTCGCATTTTCACCACCAGAAACGTTCCTTAAACCGTGACCTACTCATTTTTCACATTTTCGCTCAATTTGCTTTACCTAATAGACCCCCTGGTTTCCATGGTTGTTTAGAATTTTACGTTTCCAATATAAATGATGCCGCAGATGTACGATTTAGGTTATAAACGTCTTTTAGTGCACGTGGAAACACGTAAGCATTTTTAAGGACTAATTATTAGGTGTAAGAGAAAATTTTGTCATTTCAGGCGCATAGAACTATACGTGTTAAAAACGACAGTACTTTCCCTTACAGCTAATAATATCACGCTTGCGTTGAAAATTCTTTCGACTTAACCCCGTTTAATATCGAACTTCTAATAGGACTTATTAATTACTTAGAAATGGAAGGCCGTAATATACTTCGCGATAGCGTATAAAACTAGAGACGTATTATACGTTGTAACGTACACGTAGAAAAACGCTTATATTACGTGACGTATTATACTAACCTAACCCTGTTCCGAGCCCAGTGCCAGGGAATTGTTCCTAAAGTCGCGCCGTCCCTCGCTCCGTCTCTCTCGCACCTACGGGCCGCCCCCTCAACTCCTCTCTCTCCCTCCCTCACTCTCGGGCCGTGCGTCTTCCAGCAGAAAATCTCCCGGCCGCGGCCTCAGAGCGATCCCCGGAACGGACTTTCTCTCCTTGGAAAACGAAACGACGTCGGCGCGATTCCCTGAAGCCCCCTCTCTCTCCCTCTCCGTCGAGAGCGTCGAAGAAAAGACGCTACCTCTCTCTCTCCCTCGCCTCCCGCATTCCTGCTGCGCCGAGCCGAGACCCTCCGAGTGGGACCGAGAGAGACCGAGCGATGCCGGGCCCAGGGCGTTGGAGAGAGAGGGGGATACCTCCCCGCTGAGCGAGATAATTGTTGCCGAGAAGTTGGATGCAGGTAGCCGGGGAGAGAGAGAAGGAGCGAGCCGGTGGCCGGGGGAGGGACGGAGAGGGGGATAGACCCTCTTTAAGGATACCTTAGAGCAGGGATTCTAGATAGATGCCCAATCGACGCCAATTCCGGTAGCTCTCGCATACTAATGTCCTTACTACCGAAAAATGGATGCTTGACCTTCCCTCTTCTTTTTTTCATGTTTTTGGCGCCTTTTTAAACGGCTTTCGGGGAGGGGATAGGTGGATACGGAATTGTAGGCTATTTTTGCGGATTTCGGAGGTGGGAAGTGAATTGGATTTAGAAATTAAACCAGCGATGAGAATGCGCGGGAAGCGCCCGGCGGCGGCCATCTTGCGTTGCTGCACCGTTTACCCTCTGCAATCCAATTTATTTGTATATTAAGCCTGCAATTAGAGATATGACATGAAATTTGGAAATATTAAGTCTGACGTTAATGGTTTGTTCATAAAATTACGACTGATGAGGATTTATAATTTATTACGTATTTTTGACGAGAGCGCTCACTTCTCACATTTTCATCTCACGTGGGTTTAAACGCCGAATTACGTATTCACTATATGAAAGAACGAGATCACTAGCACTTCCAGTCTAGTAATATTGCCAAATAAATATCTTTTCTTGTATGCTTCATCATTTCGCATACAAATCTGTGCCGAGCCAGTTCATATGAATGGTCTCGCATTTTCACCAGTGAAAACGTTCCTTTTTCACATTTTCATATTTTCACATTTTTCACATTTCCACATTTTCACATTTCATTTTTTCACATTTTCGCTCAATTTACGTAATAGACTATAAAAGTGTACACCAGGACGTTTATTACGTATTTTTGACGAGAGCGCTCACTTCTTACTCTTTCATCTCACGTGGGTTTAAACGCCGAATTACGTATTCGCTATATGAAAGAACGAGATCACTACCACTTCCAGTCTAGTAATATTGCCAAATAAATATCTTTTCTTGTATGCTTCCCCATTTCGCTTAAAAATTTGTGCCGAGCCAGTTCACACGAATGTCTCGCATTTTCACCCCCAAAAACGTTCCGTTATACCGTGAGCTCCTCATTTTTCACATTTTCGCTCAATTTCCTTTACGTAATAGACCCCCTGACCAGAAGAGATGAGACGAGACGAGACGAGACGGGGGGCGTCCAACGGACGCTCGAAATGAGATTCGATTCCGGGAACGACTGCCGCCACCTGGCGGCCGTAATGGCGGATGGAGGATTCGGAGGCTTTTTACGGGATATTATTCCTGGCCGCGGAGGGAGGGGGCCACCTTGTGCGCTCCATAGTCCATGGCGATTCCCCGGAGGGGAGGGACGGAGGCCGACAGATGGGAAAAGAAAAAAAAGGAGAGAGAAGGAGAGACTCCTGGCAGCTGCTTGCAGCGCCTTCGCGGAAAGGAGCAACGAGGTATCTCCGTCTCTCTCCCTCTCACCTCTTCCCCCTCACCTCTTCTCTCTCTTTCTATCACGTGACCACGCCGACCTCGTAACAGTCACGGGGGCTCCGAATGGGTCGTCGAGTTCGCCATCTAGAGAGCCTCGAAAGTGCTTTCCCTCCTTTCTAGGTTAGGATTGGGTAATTTCCCGCTTTTTCGAGGCCTCGCAACGTATATTAAGGGGAAGTGAAA